CAGTGCCCCAATATTTGTGTTCCTCCTTATTTCCAGGTTGAATCTCTCCTTGGTCAATTTCCATCCATTATTCCTTACCCAGCCTTCAGGTGCTTTGGAAAATAGCTGGACCCCCTTCCTCTCTGTGGCAGCCCTTCAAATATTGGAACACTGTTATCATGTCTCCCCTGGTCCTTCTCTTCACTAGACTAGCTATGCCCAGTTCCTCTAACCATTCGTCATATGTTTTAGTCTCCAGTCCCCTAATCATCTTGGTTGCTCTTCTCTGCACTTTTTCTAGAATTTCAACATCTTTTTAATAGTGCAGTTACCAATGGCTTAGCAGCAAAAATTTCAATCCCAGCTGTGGTCATAAATCAAGGACTAACCTGCATGGTATTTGTCAATAGTTAAATTCTTCTCTCAGCTTCTCTTCATGTTTTGATAGATGACCCAGCATCTCTAAAGGGAGATGGAATTCCATGGCAAAAGATCAAGAATGACTCCTTTAAAAAGCCAAACTGTTGTATCGTATGAGATTTGTATGTGTGAAATCCACTGCTAAAACATTTTGTTTCCCATGAAAAATTTTTCCATTATCAACAACGCTAAAGATTGGAATAGCCCTCCTGAGGCTTGGGGAATGGTTATCTGGTGAAATAAGTGTATTTCTTGTCCCATTAAGGGCAACCAGATGTTATATTTACTGTCTAAAGGTAAAGTAAATCAGGATTAGCCCAATGCAGGGAGCAGGGAGGAGTGGTTATGTTAGGGAGATGAACTTGACATATAGAAAAAATTAGACCTCTTTAATAAATAATACCTGAAACACTTAGAAGTGTACATTCAGCTCAGTTTACCGATAGAACAGAATATTTGTAGCTCAGAATTCAACTGGGGTGTCCTTAGTCCTTTCACAGCTTGGTTACAGATGTTTCATTACCAAACTAGGTAACATCATTAGTGCTAGCAGTAAAGATGACATTACCTAGTAAAAATTATATTAGCTACTTTGGTAATGTAACATCTGCAAGAGAACAATCAAGCTCAGAGAGCACCAAGGACTCTACAGCTCAGTTGTGTTTCATTGTGTTCTGTATTTTTGCCACACTGGATTTCCTTTTGTCTCATGTTTATGTTACCACATACATTCTCTTTAAAGGCCTTATATTTAAGGAAATATAATGAACTTTGTTCCACTCTCCTCAAATGTGCCTTTTTGTATGGTTTTTGCCTACTGTATTTGTTCTGACAAGAGAATTCTCTGTAAAAGCATTTTCTATGCTATTAGCAGTAATTGACACATTCACCAATTTTGGGGGGGAGTTTGAGCTGATGACATAATTGCAATAGGCAGAAAACTGTAAATATTGAAATATCTGGCTTAGTCCTTCTAAGTTATATTGGCAGAAATTTTGGAAGCTGTAATTGTGACTGGCAAAGACCCCAACCCTAAGTTGACCCCGGGGCAACCTGTCAGCTAATTTGTTCCTTGGTACACATCAAATTAACCCCATCTCAAATTTTTCTTAATTTAAAAAAAAGAAACAATAAAGGGGGAGAAAAGGTGATGTCAAAGAATGTCAACAAACAGTGAAAATAGCAAAGGAAATTACGGGTTTTTAAAGCCGCCAGAGAAACCACAGACAATGGTGGGATTACTCGAATACAGGTAGTCCTCAACTTACAACAGTTCACTTAGTGACCATCTAGGGTTACAATGGCAGTGAAAAAAGTGACATGACTGTTTTTCACGCTTACGATGGTTGCGTGTGATCATACCATGATGATTATGTGATCAAATTTCATTTGCTTGGTAACTGGCAGGTTTTTATGATGGTTGCAATGTCCCTGGGTCACGTGATCACCTTTTGAAACCTTCTGACAAGCGACGTCAATGGGGGAAACCAGATTCACTTAATTTAACAAATGTCTCATTTAGCAACGTAAATTTTGGACTCAATTATGGTCATACGTTGAGGACTGGCTGAAGAGATAGTGTTAACAGGAATTTGCCACAGGAGATGAAGAGGAGAATGATCAGAGTGTGTTCCAAGTGTAAGATTAGGACAAAGGGACGAAAACAGTGATGGGATTCAAATAATTTAACAACCGGTTCTCTGCCCTAATGACCAGCTGGGTAGGTGGGGCTCAGTGGTCATGTGACTGGGTGGGTGTGACCAACTCAATGGCACTCATGTCAATGGGCACTTCACCTTAGCTGTTACAATGTAATAAGCGTTAACCAGAGAGGCAATTTCTCTAAGCAGGGCAATAAACATTAGGCTAGAAACAATACCAGAATGTTTCCTTCCTGCCTTCCTTACAGGATTGGCCCTGTAAAGTGGGGAAAAACCAAAATGAGATTTATTCCAACAACCGGTTTTTCCGAATAGGTGCGAACTGGCTGAATCCCACCAATGGATGAAAAGATCATCTCCTATAGGAGCTACTAATCGTCCATTGTGGGTGATCGAGGGACTGCTTTCTGCTGAATAAGCAAAGACCATGAGAATGATAAGGCAGCTCCATTCCTGGAGCAAGCTCAATGAATGAGTGAATAATGAAAAGAATTTACTTTTAAGATTTCATGTGAACTGGGAGGAATCCTTAACAACTTTTTTGTTTCTGCGTCAGGCATTTATACATGGCTAATCTAAGATCCTGGGAAGGGAACAAGAAGAAATAAAAGCTTTTCAACAGATTATGCTCTAAGAGGCAAAAGCGAAAAAGGCAGTCTGCAATTGTGAGTTGCAATGCTTATGGGTATGGCTCTTTGCAGAATAAACTGGCAGATTATTATTATTTTTGCAACAGATGCAAGCCTGTAGCAGTCAAAAGAAATGTCAAAGGATTGGAAGGATGAATGGCCACATGCCAGGTGATGAGAAAAGGTGGGGCTTTATGAATTCAAAAAAAGGAGCTACTTCCAGAGTAAGTAGAAGCTGCTCTCTGTAAGGAAAACAATTCTTAGCTTAATAACAAAAAAAACCACACCCACAACAATTGGATGGGGGATACTCGTGTTGTTAATGATGTCTGTGAAAAAGATTGCAAAATAATAATTGATTTAAATGGGAATACGAGCCAGCCGTGTGATGTAGCTGCAATAATGCCAAATGCAATTTTGGGTTGCATCAACAGAAGTATAATTTCCAAATCACAGGAAGTAATTGCTCCATTTTATTTCATTTTGGTCAGATCCCTGCCTCAGAGACTGTGTCCAATTGACCCTTTTTATATACTGCTCTATACATTGATATTAAAAATGCAGCGGAATATTATAATGATACTATCTGTTTTATTATACTTTGTTTAGTGATTTTTAAATTGCAAACTGAATCCGCATTATACAGGCTGGCTGTTGAATTATTCAGTTCTAACTTGTTACAAAAGCAACCACCATATTATCTTTGAGACTAAGAAAGTTTATTTCCCTGCCTTTGCTTTCTATGGCAGGGGTCTATAATTTTAGTCCTTGTCTTCTTTGGGTTTGTGGACATCCAGGTTTTTTGGAGTGGGGCTTCTTGGGCAGGTATTCTTCTGTCACCTGATCTGAAGCATTTAGCAATAGCAATAGCATTTAGACTTATATACAGCTTCCCAGTGCTTGCAGCCCTCTCTAAGCAGTTTACAGTCAGCATATTACCCCCAACAATCTGGGTTCTCATTTTATCCCCTTCAGAAGAATGGAAGGCTGAGTCAACCATTATCGCTTCTTACCTCCTGCACTCAACCAGTTAAATAACCTCTACAAATGCTAACTAGGCTGCAAATGCTATGAAATACTCAAATGTACATATGGTGACTTTTGTTTCTTTCCTCTGCTAAAATCATGTTGACTGTTCGTGGAATGTGATTGCCGCTGTTCTAGAACCGTTGAAGATGTCAAATAGCGTCCCCCAATTTGCCACCACTTGTAATTCACCACCAGCAAAGCCAGCTGGTGGGGTCAGCTGGGAATTGCTCTCAAAAACATCTGGACAGTGGCAGATGCAGGAAGACTGTAGTTAAAAATATTAGCTGATGAGTGGAGCAGATCCCTTGCTGGCTTCCCTCTGTATAATTTGATTTGGTTTTCAAAATCATTATTATTATTCAATTTCCTTGTCTCTGTCATTCCCCAATCATACCAACTCAACAAATTACTAGCTGACATATAAGAAGTATAATAAAAATCATCACTGTTGACTCTAAACATATGCCTTCGAGATTCATCTGTCTTCATGTTATCCAACATCTTTTTTTAGAATCTATTTTTGTAATGTGCTTAATAACATTACGCATGCCTCCAAATTGGTAGTAAGATTATTTACAGATAGATAAAAAAATTATACACTGACAAATTATGATTTTGGGTTGGTTTTTGTCATTCCTAGGGTTAATCAAATGGGGAAGGAGTCCCCCAGATGTTTTGGATTACATATCCTATAAGCCTCTGTTAACAGGGCCAAAAAAAAAGCTCTCTTTCTTGTCTGAATTTCTATTCAGTGACATTTTATACCAACTTTTTCAGGCTGTGTTAACAAACAGTGCAATCAAGCCAAGTCCTTGTACATCTTGTCAAAAGAGGTCATCTTCATCACTTCTTTTAGCTCAGGATTTTGCACTCAGCTCCTATCTGATTCTCTCAGTAGGCATGATCCAAAGATATTCCCACACCAATTCCTGGAGGTCATCTCTCTCTCTCTCTCTCTCTATAAATATATAGCTGACCATTGAGGGACAGGAGGGATATGATATGGCTGAAGTGGCAACATGAGCTGGCAACACTTAATGCTCTGGCTCGGCATCCATGCAAGTCTCCCATGGGTTCTGTGGCATGCGAGGCAAGGAGATGAGCAGAAGCGCCACTCCACAGAGGAACAGCAGGACGAAAGAGGCACAGGCACAGGCAAAGGACCAGGAGTAGTAGTAGTCTATCCAGTCTGTGTCATCGCTCGCGACCATCTTTTTGACCGATTGCCTCATAACTTCCACAGATATGATGATACACAGGCCTGGGGAGAGGGGAAAAGAAAGCAGTGAGCATGGAACAGAAGTCAAGGCCACTGACTAGTTCTTTCTCAGTTTTACGCTGAACTGAATTCCAGGTTAAGTACTACATATTTCTAGACTTCTGGATTAGACTGGCAAAGCTCTTTGCACCATCACAACCTTCCTTTCAGTCACGTTGGTCTTCCACCAGCTCCCTTCTTCCCGCCCGACCTAACTGTGACTTATACAGTAAAGTTGATGTCCCCATTTCTTCCTTCCCACCTGCAAAGGTATAGAACATGGCAGCTGGCCTCAAGAGGTAATCCATCTTCTTCCGGAAGGATAAGAGGACAAAAATGGTTCCAATGATGGAAAAGCCCATGCTGAAGATGGCAATGGCAGCTGCAGAAATGCTGTATTCTGAAGAGGCAAAGAAAAGGGAAAAGCACTGATGATGTTATCTAGCTTGGTAATGAAATGTCTGCAAGAAAACTACCAAGCTCAGAGAGCACCAAGCACCCCACATCAAAAGGAAATGGTCATCGACAAATCTAATCCCAGTGGGGAAGCAACGCAAAAGCAAGAACCTACCACCAGGTTGTTCACAGAGGACAGTCTGAAAAGTCAAGATGGCGGTTACAACAATCAAAGCTCTGCCTTGTTTTTATCTGTGCCACACCGTTCCGGCTGCCATCTATATATGGGTGGACATCCTTGTTGACTTCTGACATAAGAGCAATGTTTCCCTCTGGGCAATCAGAAGGGAAGGGCTTCCAAAATAGGAGAAAGGTAGCTAACTGTGAAATGCATGATGGGGCCAAGGCCAGAGGTGGGATTCTACTGGTTCGGATTACGTCGGGATAGCCGGTAGTACTGACTACCAATTGGTCTCCGGACGCAATTCAAGGTGTTGGTTATTACCTTTAAAGCCCTACATGGCTTAGGGCCAGCGTACCTTCGAG